CGAGTATGGGCAGTGCAGGCCGGGGTGCAGCATGCTTGCTTGGGTGAGATGGCTTCACTGAGTAACTTCCCAAATTTTCCCTTTTTCTGCAAAGTTTGAATTTATAGGCAGCACTTTTTAAAAATGAAGCAAATTTTGTTCACTAACAGAATTATTTAGGAAGCTGCCTTTGCTGCAAAACATTCCATTGAGCAAAGTAATTACTTTTATATACTTTTCAAGTGTTTTTTTAACGAAACTCTGATTTTCTAGTTCATTGAAAACAGAAGCCAATTTGGAAACACTGAAGTCAATTCCTAGTGAACGATTAATGATAGAGACCGGTAAGATTTTCTGTCTTGGTCAGTTTGTGCCTTAAACACTATGGGGCAATGAGATATGCTTGTATAGCCATGATAAGGCAGAATCAAGACCTAAGGAGTTCGGAGCAGAAAAAAGACTGGCTGTTTCTCCACTTTGGAAAGGAGTTTACAGGCTCCAGAAATACTCCTTTTCAGCCTTCTGCTGGAAGGAGTAGGCTGCTGTGTCGGTTCCTGACATTGGTAGGGGAAGATGAAAAGGACAAATTGACAAGTTTAGACTTTTAAATGTACCTAGGTACCAGAATCCCCCTTGCATATCTTTCAAAATCTAGCTTCCTGGAGATGGGCTGAACAGAGGGCAACAGCTGTGAGCTTGCCACTGGTAGCAGTAACAGCATTTGGAAACAACAAAAAACTCGTTAAATGGAGTAAGATGGAAAAACTCTTGAATTCCCCTGTTGGCCCAATGAGCAGTGATTTTAATTGACTAGGGATGCCTTTTTTTTTTCTGTGTTCATTTTAATTATCAATAACTGGCAGTTATAAATACAGTATGTATTTTAATTTCTGAGTCAGAAAGGAAAACCACAAACTGCCTAAATCCTTAAATTTACTTGCACGTGAAGTACAGACCTGTTACACAGGAAGCTTCTGTGGATTGCATGTGGTGTATCTACCCATCTTTATCATGTCAGAGGGAATTAGTGCTATGTACTATTATTGCTGATTTTTTAAAAATGTAAAATCCTGAAGGTAATGGTAGAAAAATCGAGACATTGTGAAGATGTTAAATTGCCCAATTCTCTTAAATTCCATTTTGAAGTCACTGCTAGAAAGAGATTGCAAGAACTTTTGTCTATGGAAGTACTTGATTAAACGATCTCATGCTATTCTCAAATGATTGCATACTCTTCTTTTTCAAATGAAACTAGATGCACCTTGGTGTGGAGTGAAAAATACTCATGCTGGATCAAAATACATTAAAACTACATTTCCTACAAAAAAGAAATGGGAAGTAGGGCACTGCTTGAAGGACAGAAATGAACCCTGCCATATAATGTAAGTGTACTA